TCCTCATCATCATCATCATCAGCAGCACCAGCATCGTCACCATCATCATCATCATCATCAGCATCATCATCATCATGATCATCACCATCACCATCATCAGTATCACCATCATCATCATCATCAGCAACATCATCATCACCATCATCATCATCATCATCATCATCATCATCATCATCATCATCATCACTAGCCCGATCATCATCATCATCATCATAACTAGCAGTACCATCATCATCACCAGCGCCACCATCATCATCATCATCATCATCATCATCATTAATCCTGAGCATCCTCCTCTTCCTCCCCATCATCATCATCATCCCCCTCCTCCTCCTCCTCCTCAACATCATCATCATCAGCATCATCGTCATCATCATCATAATCACCCTCATCATAATGATCAGAACCATCATCATCATCATCGTCACCATCAGTATCTCCTTCTCCGCTGTTTGACTGTGTCACTGTTGTGCCTGAAGGCCAAACTGGGCTCGGCAACAGACAGAAACTGAAGGGGGAAAACTACGGATGCACCTGGGAAGGCAGGCCGAGAGGAGGGAGGAAAAGAGGGACGAAGGAGGTAGGTGCTTCCGAAGTCCCCTGACCCCCCAGGGAGCCCTCACCGACCCACGGACCTTGGCCGTGGGCAGCTGGACCCCCTTTCCTCGACGCAGCCATCGGGGGCCCAGGGGCGGCTGGCGAGGGCGGGTGCCGCCCCTGCATCACGCGCCCCTCCCTTCCCACCCTTGAAATTAGAGCCCAAGTCTCACCTAGCCGCCCTCTGCAGGACGATGGAGGGGAGGGAGGAATTCAGAGGCCCTAGACAGCTGGGTCCCGACAGCGCACACATTCCAGCCTCGCTGTTGAGGGAGCGTCGGGGCCGCTGGCCCGCGGCTGGCGCGCGGCCTGCACGCCAAGGCGGCGCGCGGAAAGGTCGCGCGAGCGAGGCCGTCTTCACCTCCCTTTGGCGCACGAAACCTCCCCGATCCCGAACCCCCCCACTACCCCTATGAACCTCCCAGGCCCTTACTGTCCAAGACTGCACGCAAAGCACGGGCTGGGCCAATCCGCATACAATCTTCAACTCACCTGCATATTGGAACCACAACCCCCGCAGTACCTGATACAAGTTGGTGGCCTAGGCATCGCGAAGAGCTGGGGGCTGGGTCGGAGCAAGGAGATGGCCTCCAGCCTGTCTGGCTCGAAAGGCTTCTCCTGGTGGCTGGCCAGGCCTCTGCCTGGCTCAAGGAGCTCCTCCTCGTGGCTGGCCGGGCCCGCGCCTGGCTCGAGGGGCTCCTCCTCGTGACTGGCCAAACCGCTGCCTGGCTCGAGGGGCCCCCCTTTGTGGCTGGCGAAGCCGCTGCCTGGCTCGAGGGCTCGTCTTTGTGGCTGGCCAGGCCCTTGCCTGGCTCGAGGGGCTCCTCCCCGTGGCCGGCAAGGCCCGTGCCTGGCTCGAGGGGTTCCTCCCTATGGGTGGCCAGGCCGCTGCCTGGCTCGAGGAGCTCCTCACTGTGGCTGGCCAGGCCGCTGCCTGGCTCGAGGGGCCCCCACTTGTGGCTGGCCAAGCCGCTGCGTGGCTCAAAGGGCTCCGCCCTGAGGCTAGCAAGGCCGCTGCCTGGCTCGAGGGGCTCCTCCCTGTGGCGGGACAGGCCGCTGCCCGGCTCGTAGGGCCCCCCTTGGTGGCTGGCCAGGCCCGTGCCTGGCTCGAGGGGCTCCTCCTGGCGGCTGGCCAAACCCGTGCCTGGCTCGAGAGACTCCTCCTTGTGGCTGGCCAGGCCGCTGTCTGGCTCAGGCTCCCCTCGGTGGCTGGCCAGGCCGTTGCCTATCCCTCCAGCTAGTCCACGACGCTGTTCATCCCCAGCTGGCTGTGGCTGGCGGAGCACGGCAGCACGGACGGTGAAATGAATGCATGGACATCTACGAGTTGCTCTTCCAAGACCTGCACCTGCGCATCGCACCCACCCTCACAACAACACACATACTCCGTCTGAACGCCATGCTCGGTCAGCTCTTCGCCGATATAACAAGATGCACACAGCTTCGATGTGTCAATCGTCTCCTGGGGTTTCTGTTCCTCCGCGCTTTCGGATGCCCAGACATCTTCAGAACTCGGCGGGTCCAGCGCGCGACCGACCTTCTGAAATAGCTTGTTATCGGAGTGCACAAGCCCGCCTCCCCGAACGGTATTGGCACCAATGCTTGGTTAGTGCAGATTGTCCTGCAGCAACCAGCCTGCGTCGAATGTCTTTTCCCGTAGCCTTCTTGGACCCGTCGCCGTGCGCCTCCAGCAAGCTCTCGCAGCTGCCGAGAACATTGAATGCATCGCACTCCCTCGGCCCAGCGGTTCCAGCGTGCAGGCCTATGATTGCACCTGCTGCGGCAAAATCCGCCTTTCTGAGCAACCACTCTCTGAGCTGCCTCCTGCCAGCAAGACCGTTGACGGCTGCGAGCAGCTTTCCGAAGTGGTCCTACCCATGCCGACATTGCAAACTAGGTTTTGAAACTCAAGTGTGGAAAGCAGTTCTATACCGAGGAATCCGTCTGGGTGGCTTGGGGCCCGTAGGCCAACAAAACAACCCTGAGCCCAACTGGCTACGGATTCCTCCTCCTCATCCTCCTCCTCCTTTTCCTCCTCATCCTCCATTCCTTCCCCTTAAAAAACAATTATTCCCTGTCACACCCCGGGGCCAATTTTCGGGCAGGCCGGGCGTTTCGCCTGAGACTTCCTCACCACTTATGCCTCTGAAGCTTGAAAAGGCGACAACAGTTTCGCCGATGGAAGGCGGGTCGCTTTCAAAATGTGGCTCTCGCCTTAGCGCGGCGCACTTTCTTTTTGTTTACATTGCAACAGCTTCACGGATTGAGGGCGGGTGGTTTTCAACATGTGGCTCTCGCAGTAGCGCCGCGCACATTCGTTTTGAACAAAAATGCAGGAACTTCACGGATTGAGGGCAGGTGGTTTTGAAAATGTGGTTCTCGCCTGGGCGCCGCGCACATTCGCTTTAACATTTTGCAAGAGCTTCACGGGTTGAGGGCGGGTGGTTTTCAACATGTGGCTCTCGCCTTAGCGTCGCGCACATTCGACTGAAAACTTTGCAAGAGCTTCACGGATTGAGGGCGGGTGGTTTTGAAAATGTGGGTCTCGCCTTTGCGTCGCGCACATTCGTTTGAAAAATTGCAAGAATTTCACGGATTGATGGCGGTTCCTTTTCAACATGTGGTTTTCGCCGTAGCGCCGCGCACCGTCTTTTCTGGAAGTTTCAAGAGGTCACGGATGCCCATGATCACGCACCAAAAACGGTGCTTTCGAAGGATTCAGCATTACGCGGGTGCAACAGTTATGTTGGTTCGCTGTGTTGGAGCCAAAAAAACATGATGGCAAGATTCTGGATCGTCAAGACGCAGCAGTCAGGTTG